ATGCTCCCTGCAAGGGACAGGCTCCTGTGCTAGCTGCCTGCAGGGAACTCAAGGGAGACAAAGCTAATTCCTAACTGTTGAAGGCACAGATTCCTCTGGAGATGTTCTCTGGGTTGAAATGGGCATTTGCATTATTGTTCTTTGGCCAAAAGCTTTGGTTGAACAAAGTAGTTTTCCTCTGCCTTTCTGACTGCATTTCCAAATGAAACACTGTTCAGTCCCAGCTTCTCTTTGTGCTGTTCCATTTCCAAATGAAACAATGTTCAGTCCCAGCTTCTCTTTGTGCTGGTTTTGAACAAGAGCACAGGTGTGAGCTCACCTTCTTGGTGAGGCTTGTCAGAGCACACTGATCAAGAGCTGCAGAGCCTGCAGAGAACTGCCTGCACTCACCTGTAGCCCAGGATGGTGCAGCCAGTGCAGCTCCAGTCCAGCTGGGAGTCCTGGAGACTGGACAGGAACTGCAAAGCAAAGAGCATTGGTCACATCCATCACAAAGACCCCAGGGAGGTGGGACTAGATGATGCCTTGGATTTTGCAGGGAGCTGGAGCTGCTGAAGCACCTTCTTCTGTCTCTGCAGGCAGCAGAATCACCGTGTCCAGCTCATGGGTGACCCTTTTCCCACCCTGTCACAGGGCACGAGGCAGTACATCCCTTCTTTATGCCTTCCTACCTCTTTGGCAAGGAACAGGCCTGAGCACACATTTCCCACCCCACAGATGCCTCTCAGGGCCCTGGGAGAGCCTCTGTGTGCAGCTCAACCCCACAGTCTGCTCTGCTGATGCTTAGCAAGCCCCAGTTTTCCTGCTGCCCTTGGCATCTGAATGACACCAGTCAGGCTGGGCCCTGGGGAGCCACCACAGCCTTTCCCAGGTGTTCTCCTGCAAAGCCCAGGTCCACTCACCAGCCTCTCAAGAGCAGGTGTCAGCACCCTGTAGTAGTCTGAGTTCTCAGTCTGTAAGCTGCTGTTGAACGTGATTCCTTGCAGCTCCACGGTGTGCTCAAAGCTGGTCTCTCCTGTGGGCTGGCAGGCTGCAGGGAGGGCAGTGGCTGTCAGGGGCAGCTCCCTCAGGCCTTGGCAACAAGGACCTCCTCATGTCCCTCAAACCCCCCTGATCTCAGCAGCTTGGCTGTCCCTGAGCACCCCGACGGCCTCAGGGGTGCCCCATGGCCACACTGGGACACCTGCAGTAGGAGCATTTTGCACTGAACTGGTTGGAACTTGAAAAAAGTGGATTTTTGGCAAGGTTGAGGCAGAATTTCATGAGCAGGGTACACTGAGGGTACAGCCTGGCATTCCAAGATTGGCACTATCCTGGCAGGAGAGGCTGGGAAAGCTGTGCTGGCACTGCAGCAGCTCAGAGAGGGAGGCTGGAGCAGAGCTGGAGGGATCTGTCAGTGGTGACACGTTGGGGTCCTCACCGTGGTGCTGGCTGAGGTGGCATATGGCCATGGGGCACCAGAAGCAGCAGGAGGAAGGTGGGAGAGGCAAGGAGACAGTAGTCATGCTCTGAAGTGGGACAGGCAATGGTCAGTGACTGCAAGAGGTTGTGACAGGAGATGGCAGGGACAGAGAGGTGCAGTGACAGGAAATCTGGAGGTCACAGGGAGAGGTTAGAGGATAGACTCACAGAATTGTTCAGGTTGGAAAAGACCTCTGAGATCATTGAGTCCAACTGTTCCCTGTGCCCTGCCACATCTAGGCAGGGCAGATGGCAGATGTGCCACATGTAACACACCAATTCAGCTCCTTTCCCTCTGGACAGCTTTCTAGCCACTCTACCCCAAACCTGGAGCATTCCATGGTACTCTGGAGACCCAAAGATAGGACCCAACACTTTGCCTTGTTGACCCTCACACCATTGGCCTTGGCCCATCAATGCAGCCTGTCCAGATCCCTCTGCAGAGCTTCCTGCCCTCCAGCAGATCAACATTCCCACCCAGCTTGGTGTGTGAGCTGAGTGAGGATGTCCCCCAGCCCCTTGTCCAGTCATTGAGGAAGATATTAAACAGGACTGGCTCCAGAGTGGCCTGGGGATCATCACTTGTGACCAGCCCCAGCTGGATGTAACCCCATTCCCCACCACCCTCTGGGCTCAGCCAGCCAGTTTTTGCCCAGGGAAGACTGCAGCTCTCCAAGCCATGAGCAGTTTCTCCAGGAAACTGGTGTAGAATACTAATGGTGTCAAAGGCTTTACCAAAGCTGAGGTAGACCAGATCCACGGATCCTTCTGTGGAAGGAATCACAGGTCGAAAGGGGCCACAGTGGGTAATCTGGTCTACCCTCTCTGGTCAGGCAAGGCCATGCAGAGGAGAAAGGTCTGGCTGCTCAAGCAGCACATGTGTCAAGAGACAAAGTGCTCTGCAGTCAAGTTGAGAACACGAGTTGACCGCAGCCCCAACAGTCTGTGTGTGCACGTGCAGAGAGTTGACATTTTGTCCTCAGCAGAAGGCTCGGAGGGATGTTGGGCAGGAGCAGTGCACAGCACAGCAGCTTTCCCTCTGGACAGCTTTCCAACCCCTCTCCCCCAAACCTGGAGCCCAGCCACACTCACCCAGCAGGATGCTGAGGCACAGCGTGGTCACACTCACTGCCAGCGCCGTCGCCGCCGCCGCCACCTTCCAGCCACGCGCGCCGCGCGCCGCCTTGGGCTGCTCCATGCTCCTCCACAGCTCTGCACCTGGCTCTGCAGTCAGAGAGAGGAGGAAAAGGACAGGAGGGGTTAATGTGCCCTGGTTACCCCAGTGCATTGCCATAGGAAACAAAGGGATGGACACACACTGTGTTTCCTCAGTGTGCTGAGCTGAGGCTCAGTTCAGGTTGTAGACCTGAAGACATCAATCAGTGTGTGGTGACCTGGTTCCCCTTCCCTCTTTTCCAGGGGTTGTGTTGTCACACTGGCTGTGCCCCCTGAGCACGAAGCAGCTTGACACCTCTGTGCTTGGCACAGGCTTAGGATGAGCTGAGCCAGCCCCAGTGGCACAGAACCTGCCCAGGGTCTGACCAGGCAGCACACTGCACCTGCAGGTCATCCCCAGGCAGTGTCTGAAGGTCCTGCTGCCTACAGTGCCAGGGACAGCTCAGTGGGCATGGCCAGACCTGATCTCTTGGTTTGCTCCTTCTGCCTCAGTCACTGCCCCTTGTAAAGAGCCTAAGCCCAGACAGTGTCACAGCATGTTATAGGGTCAGGATGGTCTCTGCTCCCAGGCTACTAGCAGGACAAGAGGGAACAGACTCAAGCTCTGCAAGGGGAGGGATAGGTTGGATATTAGGAAGAGATTTTTTCCAGAGAGAGTGCTCAGGCATTGGAATGTGCTGCCCAGGGAGGTGGTGGATTCACCATCCCTGGAGGTTTTCAAGCTGAGACTGGATGTGGCACTTAGTGCCATGGGCTAGTGACCACAGTAGGGTTGGACTTGATTATCTTTGAGGTCTCTTCCAACCTGGTTGATTCTGTGATTCTCTGATTCTCTGGAGCTTAGGGCTGTAAATCAGGGAAGCTGCAGAGGAACAGCCTTTTCTCCTGTAAATGCATCCAGCCTCGAGGGGAGGAGGGCAGGAAGGGAGTGGGACACAGGGAGCAGCTCTGCTGCTTCACAGGAGCTTTTCAGTGTTTTCCAAGAGGCGTCAGCAGCTCTTTAAAACTGAAGCTTCTAGATAAGAGATTTTAAAAGGTCACTTCTTTGTGAGGCAACAGACCGAGAGAAAGGGGAGAGGAAGGGAGAGCCTGTCCAAGATGCCTCTTTTTTATTTTTTTCTCTAGCAGACCTCCAAATATTGTTTTTCAGCTGTTAACTGAGCCTGGCACAGATAGGCACTGTGGCCCCTGAGTTCTGCTAACAATGTCTCTGTTTGACAATTCAGCTCTGGCTCCGAGGAGACAGGTAGGGAACACTTTGCAGTGGTCCTGGTGACCTGGATACATACAGATGAGGGATCCCTCAGCTGCTCCTGCAGTGGGTTTTGGAGTCTCCACAGTGCACTGAGTGTGGGAGCTCAGAGATCCAGTCCAGCTGTGCTGAGCAGTGCAACCTTCAGTGACCCTCAGAGCTAGGGCAGCTGCAGCTGAAAAAAAGCATCACAGACAAAATGACCTTAGCCTGGGGTTGTTTGGACAATACAATCTTGCCTGCATCCAAAAAGTCATCTGACAACAGAAGGTACTTGGGACCCTAGAAAGAAGTTTGTACTGGTGATTGCAGAGGCATTTGAACTGGGAAAATATTGAGAGAGAGAGAAGCCTCCAACTTCCCTAAACAGTAAAAACTTGTCTTTGCTCTCCTTTGTAGCATAAGGAAAGTTTATTTTCCTTTGGTGTGAGTTAGAAAAGGATTAAAAGGACACATAAGGGGAAAGCCCATCTTGCAAGACCAACACAGAGACTGGATTTTTTTAGTGGAAGGTAATAAGGACCATCTATAAATACATCATGGAGACCTACAGTAAGGAGCTCTGTGTGCTGGAAAACATTGTGGCATAAAATCAGGTGAGCCAAAATTAGGAGAGTATTAACAGTCAGAGGAGCACAAGTTTCCAGTAGGAATGTTGAGGGAAAAAAAAGCACATTTATGATTTTTTTTTTGTCAGAGTGGAAGTTGTGAGTGGTGATAAATGATGCCCTGACAGCAGAGGGTGGGCAGCTCTGAGCTGGGTGTCCTTCTAGTTCTGAACCAGTGACCTCCTTCTGTCTTCCTAGACCTCTCCAGCCCTTGGTCTCTCTCCCTTCAGGAGTGTTCACATTCCTGCCAGGCACTGCCCTGTCCCAGGTTCCATCCTGCTCTTCTCCAGCTTCTCCCATTCCCAGTCTGCATTCCCAGTCCCATTCCCTGCCAGCAGCCCTTGAGCATGGGAACATGAGCTGAGCCCCACGCTGAGCTCTTGGCCAGAGGAAAGGAACAGAGGAAAGAAACAGTGTCTTCAAAAGACAACTCCATTTGAGGTTGATGTCCCCCAGTGGTAAATCCAGGCTGCTGGGATGGTTTTCAGCCAGCTGTGATGGTAAAGAGCTGCTGATATGCTGCAGCCATTGGAACAATAATGTTAACAAACCATTTGCTTCACCCCTGGTGGGGTAATCTGGCTCTCAGTGCTGTGCCTGCTGAGCCTGCAGGCACAAGGGTTGCAAAACTGTCTCCTGGCCTAAGGTCATGCCTGGAATTCCTCACCCAGACAAAGGCTTTGCGAAACTTGGTATGGAAAACATGCAGCTTGCTCGGGGCAGAGCACCAGCTCAGCAGCAGATCCACCTGCAGCATCAGCAAGTAAGGAGCCTGTGGCCAAAGGTGAGGGAAGGACTCCTGATTTTATCACTGAGGTAAGACTTGTGGCACTTCAGAGGAGGAATCCAGCAGAAGCAGAATATTCTTCCAGAGGGAGATAGCCCAAAATGAGAAAAGAGCCTCATGGCTTCACCTTACAAAATCATAGTACAACAAACCAAATCAGGAGCTTGAGCAGGAGAGAGAGGGTGGTCATTTGCACAGCCAACCCCAAATATTTCACTTAAAATGGGGTCAAGTCTTGTGATGTTTCCCTTACAGTTGGGAATTTAGTTGTCTGGAAATGTGGCTCAGCTCTTGTGGCAGCAGCTGCTAACAGGAGCTAGACTGCTTTGCTAGGGGAGTAGATTTGTACCCAGTGGTGTCTGTTGGGTGGTGCAGTGTGAGGACATAGGTCTGGAGAGGCCAAGACCCATGTGCTGGTTCCCACTCGTGCCTCGAGGCCACACCAGGGCTGCCCCATGAGTTGGGCTCCACAGAAAGGAGTTTTGGAATACACTGCTGCTTCCTGGTGAGCTTATGTCTTCCCTTAGACCTTCTGATGAGGTGATGCTACACCACGAAAAAAAAGTCCATGCAGAAACAGCAACCGACTGGACAAACAGGTACAGGACAGAGCTCTCAGCACCATGGAGCAAAGACAAACCACCCCCACGACCAGCAGACACGGGTTTGGCTGACATGGGCATCACCTGCCCCCACACTGGTTCCCTGGACCACCCAATGTTGGATTTCTTTAGCCATCTCCAGCTCCTGAGATGGACATGTAGAGCTGGACACGTCCCTGTCGCTCTGTAGCTCAACATTTAGGGGGTTTGTGCTGCTTTTGGAAGGTTATACCCCACTTTTCAAGCAGAAAGCAAGGCTCTCCTGAGAGGCTGCAGACTCTGCACTGAGGACACCTCTTTGCTCCTGAGGTGAGGGAGTGAGGAGCCCCCAGAGCAGGTGAGTCCTGCTCACCTGCAGCACTCTTGGTTCAGCTGTAGCTCTCAGCATGCCCAATGACACTGTGCAGGCCTTGTTTATTGTCCCTCTTGGTCTTCAAATATCTCTCAATTTACAAGTAAGAAGATCCTCTCCCTGCCTGCCAGCTCTGCAGGCTCAGCAGGGCCATGACAGACAGGCTGAGCTCCCCAGTGCTCATCTTATCACTGCCAACAAAGGCCCTAACATCACTTCCACCTCGAGCCCTGAGCTCTCCCTTTGGTAACAGAGTACCAGGCAGATTTGTACCTGCAATTACTTCTTCAGCTTTTAGCCATGGCTTGCACAATAAAGCCAGGGCTGCTCTCCTCCCCCCTGGCTGTGCTGCCTGAAAACCCAGCAGAGATAGTAAATACAGAATGCACATGGGGAGTATCCAGTGTGCCAGGAAGTGCCATGTTTGTCCGGTTACTCCTCACAATGGCACTATACAATCCGATACTTTCAGCTCATGAATGGCCAAGGAAAAAAAATCTCACATGCTTAACTCATGGCATTTAGTGACAGCCACTTGCCTCCTTTGGCCTCTGTGCCTGGCCCAGTGCAAAGGCTGTGGGAACAATCCTGGTCCCAGTGAAGCTGCTGGACATACTGGGCCCAAAGGAACAGGGGATAAAGCTGATGGTTTCCTTTTGCAGAGAACCCTCCCCAGCAATTTAGATAGAATTTAAATTCTTGGCCATTAAAAGCAATGGGCTTTGGCTGTTACTGCAGTTTGACAAGTTAATTATGAATGTTCATGATCACAACCCCCCAAACTAGCCTGAAACTAGTCACCTGCAGTGCATGTGGCCTCCCAGGAAGGATTCCCACAGAAAAACCAGCCAGTGATGACAGATACTAGCCAAGCAAGGAACTCACAGCTCCTGAGTCAATGGGATTTTTGTCACTGGCTGCAGAATGAAACTCTACATTTGGATGCAGGAGAGTGTCAGCTGCAAACTGCAGTGCTGAGGCTGTGGGAAATGTGCAGCTCCAGTCTGCCCCTCCTGCCTGGGGAGCCCATCAAGGTGTTGGCACACAGGGATGGCTCAGGTCCTGCACTTGCCTTTTTTTGGCACCTCCACCCACAGACACCTGCCCTGAGCAGGACACAGAGCTCTGTGCAGGGCAGTCTCCAGCAGTGTGAGGCACTCTCAAGCCTTTCCTTCAACACTTTGATGCTTCAAAGCACCATCCACTGCAGAAATGTTTCCCTGAGCTCAGATCCTGCTGCTCTCCAAGCCATGGAGGTTTTCTCGTGCCAAGGTGGAAGCTTCTCCTTGCCACAGCTGTATTTCCTACAGGCATAATGTTGCTTAGCTCAGCATTTAGGTCTGCATTGCTGCTAAAGCTGCACTTCTTGTTTCCTGTGAAGTGCCCTGAGATTTCTTTCTGGAACATTTCCTCACTTGTTACAGCTTTTCAATAATACAGATCATTC